TTAAGGCAAAGTAGTTCTTGTTTTCACTGACTCCCTGGAAGACTGCATTATTTTCTCAGCTTTTAATTCATGGAAGAACATCAGCTACATGCTTTTCCATCTTCTCGTTCTACTTTTTTCATTTTGATGGACTAATAGCTGTGATTTTTTTTTGTTTGTTTTTTTCTATAGGATTTGTCCTAGATCTAGATAAGGCTATGCAAAGGTTTATCATTAAGCTATCATTAACCATTATTTAGATTTCCTCATTGATATTAAAGAAGTCTGAGTTACAGTTGCTACCATCCTTTTAATCAGTGTTAGGATCCATTTTCATGTTTTTATTTTCTCTTTTTGTAGTGTGCTATATGGCACTTAGTACCACATTTTTTAGTTATTGAGTCCCTTTTCCCTTTCAAAGCCAGGATCACCTGGTAGTTTCCAGTGTCAGCAAATTGCTTATGGTTATGCTTTTGGGATTTATCTTGTTATCATCAAATGCTTCCACAGTAAGTTAATTTACATTTATTTTCTGCAAGATTATGTTCATGCAGCTGTCGTGTTCTCTGCTGCATGTGTTCTTCTATCTCTCTTCAGTCATATGCCTCTAGGGCCAGTAATTTGTCTGGTCTTAAGCTAAGTTACTCAGCTGCCATTTGAGCTACCGACCATTCTGTGTTCAGTAGTTCTTTCCAGCACTGTCTGTAAAAATGGTAAAGAAGTAGGAAGCGATGAAGTCTGGACTATGAGGGACTACTGCGTTAGGTCAGGGTCCTGTTCTTGCCCGGTACCTTTTGCAAACTGCTTTGAATGCTTTTCTTAAGTGACTGATATTAAATAATGACTTTAAGAGGTGGCAATTGTCTCCAAGTATTTACTTATGTTTAGTGCAGATATAAAGATACAAGAGCTAGGAGCTGCGCATTCAAGCCTGTATCAACTAGAAATTGGTTTTTCCTCAGAGTTGTCTGAAGAGGGTGGCAGAACAGCTCTACCCTCAGTAGGCAAAGTATTGAACCACATATTTTTACCTTGCCCAAGTCTATATGGGAGCATCAGAGTTTAGCATTTACAACCATTTTCAAATAGAAAATAAATGTGGTTAGAACATACTATACCTTAGCTACATTGGGTATTGATGCTGCGCTAAGACAGAGTGCCCCAGCGTAGCCTGATAAGCTGTAGTCTTTTTTTGTTTTACTTTTTTCTGATCCTCTCTGTTTTAGTTCAAGACCTATTTTGTTTGTATATGTCACACTTCTATATAAATCTTTTCTGTGAGGTCGTGTTTTCCCCCCCTTCCTACGTCTGTACATAGAATTGGTTTCAGGTGCAGCTGACTTAAAGGGACTTGCTCATTATTCATTACTAATTCAGGAATTCATATATGGATAGATTAGCTGCTTACGCTTTTGTTTGTCCTATAAGCATATGCAAAAGTGCTAGTACACACATGGTGGTAGTCAGTTTTGCAGGTCTCCTTAGAAGTAGTATATAACGGGTGAGGTGTCTTCATAGTAATGTATCCTGGTCACTTACAGATTCTGTGTATCCTGAAAGTACATGAAATTTCCATATATTACTTTTCCTTGTTAAGAACCATCTCGAGCATAATGTGGGAAAGATGGCTGAGTATTTGTATCTCTGTAAGCTCCGGCTTACCTGTTATGTTCCTCTATGTGGCTTTCTAATCTTCTGCAGTGTAACAGTCTGACGTTCCCTTTCTGAAAAGTTGTCTGTGACGAGCAGATTGTAAATCGGCCATCAGATGCACCAGAATGTTTCTATATCTGTGTTCTGATCAGCCTGGAAGTAGCTGAGAGGATTTTGATGGTTTGATCTTTTAAAACCTGTGATGTAGTTGAAGAATTATTAATGTGAAATGTATCAACTCTTAAATGTCATGGTAAAAAAAGTTATTTTGTATAATACGGAGGCTGAAGATCTCTTGCCACTTCAAAGAATTACAGCTTGCAGGACTTTTCAGTGCATGAGGGTATGAGCTTTGTTTAAGTAGTCGCCGTGTATCAGGAAGAAATCATAGTGTTGTGAGGCTCTAAACACAAATGAATATTTGGAATTGTAAGTGATATTTTGTCCTGTCTTTTCTCCTACTGAAATGGCCTGGACAGGGAACACCAGCATCCCAGAAACTCCAGAAGCGAAGAGGACATCAAAATTATCTTATTTCAAGAATCAAAGAGGGGTACATTTCCTAAATATATCTTCAGACAGTGAAGATGAAGAACCGAACAACTTCCATGCTGCTGAAGAAAACCACGCTCCAAGGAAAGATGCAATTATAATGTAAGCTTTAAGCTTTTTTTGTAACATTTATGCAAGCTGATGTAATGTCTGATTGAAGAGATTCTGGTTTGCTGATTAAGTGTTCTGGTTTATGATTATCTGCCCCTAGCAAGCTCTACTGGATTTTCAGCAAAGAAGAATTCAGCTCTTAGGTGTCTTCTCTGAAAACCTGGTTTATGGGAGAATAATCCCACACTACTGAATTGTACTCATCATGTTTATTATGTTCATGCATTTGTCCCCCTGAAAGCCTTTTGATGGCACTGAAGGATTAGCTTTAAAATATTAACTTTCTTAGTTTTAAAATGTATTCGATTTTGTTTTAGCTTGTTTCCTCCTTCGTATGGATAGGAAGGCAAGTGGTACTTCAGCGTGTAGTGTAAGAGTTCCCAAGCTTTACTGTTAAGGCTTCAGTTTCAGAAATATTAGGTATTAGGTGCATGATGTTGTGTTTAGCTTATGAAAAGACTTTTAAAAAGTGATTTGGAAACTTACTTTAAGAGTAAATTGGGAGGGAAGAGAATAGTAAGCAATGGTAACTTGCCTGTATGCTAAAAAGGGAGCATTGAGAGTACAGGAGGGACGAGATATAGACAGACGTCTTGTACAATCAGTTGGAACGGCTTAAAAAAAACTGCTATTCATTAGCTACTAGTTAGCCACTGTTATGGCTGAAATGTGGTAATTGTCTGTGTCCTGTAATTGTTTCTGTTCCAAGGAGAGCAGGATGGTTTAACCCGCTTTTTTTGGATAATCTGGCCAAGCTAAACTGTGGTAAACTTCTATGGGGATAGCACAGGCTCTTGCCACATTTTTAGTCCTTATGCAGAGCATGGAGATACTGGAGCTTTTCAGCAGAAATGAAACAATGCTTTCCCCTGCTACTATTATCTGAAACTCTTGAATTTTTTTTTTTTTTTAATGCATCTTTCCCGAAGTTTCACCGTAAGGCAGATACTTGGTAAGAAAAAAAGTAATGTTTAGTAGTTAGCAGAGTGACCACTCTTATCTATCTCTGGGCAAATGATTTAAGCTGTAGATTGTGCAAGGATTTAGAGGTGGCAAGCTGGTTGCATGCACCATATTGAATTGTGTGCAGTGCTGTGTAAACATACTTAAACTGCTTCTGGGATCAACCTGATGTGAAAGCAGTGAAATCACTTCTGTGCAGTGTGGAGCTGAAGCTAATAAGCCATGCAGGATCCAACTTGCAGAGCCACAGCTTGGTATTTCCACACTGTCCTCCGATTCCTGGGAGCAAGAGGCAGACACCGAAGTGGCTCCCAGTGGGATTGATCTAACACAAGCTACGTCCTCTTGTATTCTTCATTATTCCTGTGTAGCCAGCAGTCTTCTGTGCACCAGGTGCCCCAGTGCTCGGCACTTCAGGATGGCTTACTGGCTCAGGTGCCAGTTGATGTGTGCTGAATCCACTAAGCTGGGCATCAGTGGCGTTCTGCTTGAACTGCTAAACTGGAATTAAAGGGTGTGCCAAGAGTTAACCTGGATCTGGCCAGGCTTATTAGCTCTGGCATGTGCTGAATTTAGCCTGGCTTTGCACAGAATCAATCAACTGTCTTTGCACCGTGCTTCTTAGTGCATGTGTTACCCAGTGTTTGGGTTGTTTGCAATATTTTTTTTGCAGAATATCGCAGCTCCTGTTATTCTGGACAAGGGACAGTTGATGTTCCACAGCAGAAAGCATAGCTTTCCTAAAAGGACATGTGAGGCAAGCTTAACTATGAGTCACTGTCTGGTCTTTGATGGAAAACAGAATTCCTTAAATGCTAGATTTTTTTGGGTCAGAGTCAGACTTGTTTAATGGTTAAATAAGCATTAAAGCATTTCTGGGGGGAGAGGCTAACACACCAGAAGACTGTGCTGCCATTCAGAGGGACCTGGACAGGCTGGAGAGGTGGGCGGAGAGGAACCTCATGAAGTTCAACAAAGGCAAGTGCAAGGTCCTGCACCTAGGCAGGAATAATCCCATGCACCAGTACAGGCTGGGGACTGACCTGTTGGAAAGTAGCTCTGCCGAGAAGGACCTGGGAGTGCTGGTGGACGACAAGTTAAACATGAGCCAGCAGTGTGCCCTTGTGGCCAAGAAGGCCAATGGGATCCTAGGGTGCATTAGGCAGAGTGTTGCCAGCAGGTGGAGGGAGGTGATCCTGCCCCTCTATTCAGCCCTGGTGAGGCCTCACCTGGAGTACGGAAGAGAAGCTTGAGAGGCGATCTCATCAACGTGTACAAGCATCTGAAGGGGGAGTGTCAAGAGGATGAGGCCAGCCTCTTCTCCGTGGTGCCCAGCGACAGGACAAGAGGCAATGGGCACAAACTGAACCACAGGCAGCTCCATCTGAACCTGAGGAAAAACTTCTTCCCTGTGAGAGTGACAGAGCATTGGAACAGGTTGCCCAGAGAGGTAGTGGAGTCTCCTTCGCTGGAGATATTCAAAAGCCGTCTGGATGTGATCCTGGGCAATATGCTCTAGGTGACCCTGCTTGAGCAGGGAGGTTGGACGAGATGATCTCCAGAGGTCCCTTCCAACCTAAACGATTCTGTGATTCTGTGATTTCTTCATGTTTGATAAGAATGTAGTTATATAGGTAGAGTAAGAGTTATGATTTGTGCAACTCTGGCTTTGCTGACAAGTATCTAGATATTAATCCTTAATGGGAAAGGATAGAGTAGTTATAGTGTTACCATTTAAATTTCAACTGATCTTTTTAAATGCCTTTTTATAATGTAACTTTATGGCCCTATCAAGGCAAAAGGATTTGAAATATACAAATAGAATTTTAATGTGTTGTTTCACTAAGACTTTTTGTGGATGCTGGATTCAACCTTAAGTTTGCAATTAGATTGCTGGGTGGATTTGAAGAAGAATTTGGGTTATTTTGTTTTAAGGATTTTTTTGTTATAATAGTCTTTTGGTGGTAGTGCAGCCAAAGAGTCCAAGTAGCTGCGTGTGCTTTTTGAACAGGACAGGGAGAGAAGCATTATTTGATGAAAAGTTATATCAACATTGTGTATATATTCCAAATAAGTGGCATTAGTGCTGCTTTTTCAGAAATTGTATTGCGATTTGCCTGGTCCAGAAGAAGGATATAGCCAGAAAGATTGTTTTCCTTGTCTTCTACTTAAAACCATGTAAAGAGACTTGCAAGCAAGTCTTTATGATGGTGATGTCGCTATAAAATGGCAAACTCGATACGGTTGGATTAATTGTAGTTTAGGAAAGTAGATGTTAAGCTTTTATGTGTCTATGGAGGGCAGTAAGATAGGAGACTTGTGCTTGCACTCCATCTTTACTGTGGGACTGAATATCATGAAAATCATATAAAGATTGCTTTTTCTGCAGGCTAGCTGTAATAGTAAATCTTTCAATAAATTCAGGACTGACTTCTTTCTTTCTTTGAAGAAGGTTCTGGCCACATTTTAATGTGTTCAAAACTCTGCATAAGGATCTCTGAATGTTCTTTTTCAGTGAGCTGAGAGTTAGGACAGGGCATTGATATTGCGCCTGGAAAAAATTTTATAAAGGTCATATTCGTATCTCTTTATCTGTTGGGCAGTTTAATACTGGGAGGACCATTTGAGACAAACTAAGATGGTCAGTCTGATGTAATTCAGGTACCTGAAATGATGAAGTGTAATGAGATAGTTATTGCTAAATTGACAAGTGGCCCAATACAAGGGTAAGTCACTATATTTCCCGCGTCTGTTCTTCCTTCCCTCTCCCCTTTGTTCAGCTGAAATGTCTTTATTGAAAACAGAAGAGTATACTTAACTGTGTACGCTTTTTGTCCTGATTAGTAGGTATCACATAGGGTGCAAGCTAGTTCAATGTTATTGTACACATCTAACCATGTTTTCTAAGGAAGAAAACTGCTTTCTGTCTCTTCCCTTCTTTTATGATGCGTGAAGAAATCCTGAAACAGTGTCTTGCGGCAAGAGCGGAAAGGAAAGGGTAACACTTTTTAGTGTTAAATTTTGCTTTCTGTAATACGTATTTCATTTACTTAAATAACGTGCAGTACCTTTTGAGAACTTAAATTTAAAATTAAAGAATTTTGAGCTCCTAACAGGTCATTTTACAAAAATTTCAAGTTGTGTGATGCTGTTGACTTCTGGTTTACACGGATGCTCTAGGGTAAAACATTTATAAGAAGCAACTATGTGTTAATTTTCCCCTTGCTCATTTTTTGGTAGCTCTAAACAATCTGATGAACAACCTGAAGATGGACTACCCAAACTGGCTTATATAAATGGTGGAGATCAAGTGCCGGGCATGGAGGAGGATGTAGAGGAAGACATCAGAGATGCAAAGTTGCAAACACTGAAAGAACTTTTCCCCCAAAGAAGTGACTTGGAATTATTACAAGTAACAATACTGTGTTTGTTTTTTTTTTTAATTTACTTTTGCTATTTTGTAAGAAATATTCCTATGCTTTTGGTGTTATTAGAGGGAACAACCTTAACCCTTATTAGCAAAAGGGTATATCGAAGTACTATAGTTTACTGAACTTTGGCCACAAAAGGTATCCTAGGGTGCTTCTTGGTAAGGGGTTTGTTTGTGTTTAACTTCAACTCACCTTAACAGTAGTGAACTCTAGGGCACTGTTTGAAGATGTCCGAAGGAAGGCTTTCATATCGTTTCGGTTCCTTTGTAACATTTAACCTGAATTAAACTTGTCTTGAGTGATAACTATTGGTAACTGTTGCTGGAGGGTGGCTAACTGGTTAAATGTAGAATGAGTGAAATGATTGCCATCCTCTCCAGCAGATGAAATGTTACACCCTCACTTTCATCGGATTGAGTGTTCAGTCTTTAGTGCTTCCACTGAGGTGAAAAGGGAGGGGGTGGTCTGAATTGCCTTAATTTCTTCTAGCTATGCTGGCATGTGAAACGAAGATACTCTTGGTCTTTCTCCAATGTCCTGTACACATTTTACATTAAGACTGTGGTAATTAATTATTACAGTAAAGTTATCTGCGCTATAGTAAACGTCTTCAGTAAGATTACCTTTTAAGGCTGATAATGTAGCCTAGGTTTTCAAAGCCCGGGTAGCTAAATCGACCAGTTAAGTTTCCTGATAGCTGAATTATCTTTAAAAAACTGTGGAGCTATGTAGGTGTCCTTGCTGGGTGTTTTTTTCCCCAGTGGTTCATGCTTTATATTTAGGCCTCAAGAAGAAAGGACGGGTTGAAAATAGCTGTTTTGGAATTTTCGCATGGAATGGTGGATGTAAGATAAATAACAGCATAGATGCCCAGAATGTATGAAGTTTTGACTTTTGGGGGATATTGAAAGTATTTGAACCACAGAGTGGTAACAGTTCATTGTAACCTTAAAAATAGCTGGAAATGACGGTTGTCTGGTGTGCCTGCTTACACTTTTGTGACTTTAATGATGCTTTAGCTACTTAGCGGTATTCAACGCTGGTGATGCTTGTTCTCAGGATAGCGTAAGACGGCTGCTATTTGAAGCTTTAGCCACGGAATTTGGTCCTATGCAAACTTCCATCCGTAGCGAGAGATCCACAATGTTCTTGAGGGAAGCTGGAGAAACAGTAGGCAGACCTTGTTCCTTCTGTTGGTGCAGGTTGCAGAGCAGCCTGTCTTGCTAAACCCTGGACAGCTGATAAAGGTTATTCAAGAAAATTCCTAAGAAATACTATTCTGATGCTTGTTGAAAAGGAGATGGTGCGTTTGTAGTAAAATTGGAAGATGTTGTTTACAAACGTGAATGGATATTTGGGAATCAGGATTCCTGTCAGCTTCATTTTGTGTTTCATGTTTGCAACCTTTAGGCAATTTGCTTCTGTGGCAGTTAACACACTCATAAGGTGTGTACTGCTTTTTATAAGTCTTGATGTTTACTTAATTTGTGAAAATGATTTGTACTGAGGTTACAGGTGAATGGAAGAAGAATCTGGGACTGTGAGGAAGTATAGATAACCTTTCAGAGGCACGTTATAAAACTCATAGACATACTTTCAGGAAATCAACTGATAGAATATAGCAGTATATAGAAACTCTAAAAATTAGGAAACTGGTTTTTTTGGATCTTTAGGTTTTATGACTGTAACATGGAATAGTTTTAAAAATAAGTTTATTAAGCCTGCATGATATGTTCGTGAAGTAGGAGAAAAGCAGAAATAAATGAGATTATGTTTAAAAACATTTTCAGTAGTTTTCTGTTTAAGTTTTTCCAAATACAGGTGATGTGAGTTTAATCAGTCTAGCTTGTCTAGTGCCTGTTAACTTTTTTTGAAGCGTATTTCAGTCATTCTGACTTATTGCTTTCTTCTATTCAGTTAAATCTAGCACTTAGCAGTTGACATTTTTTCTTTTTTTTTTTTAGTTGATAGAATCAGCATGCACAATGGATGAAGCAATAGCTGCTGGTTTGAAGTTCAATGATGAAGGTATGTTTAAAAAAACTTCAGAAACTGTAGCTAATTCAGTGAAGTAAATTTGGTTTGCAGGTATTTAAAAAGTGCTAAAAGTTATTACATTAAAAAGTTATGCTATTGTTTGTTTGTTGTAAGAACACAGAACTGAAAGTACAGACTTTGCAGGGGATTATGATGGGAAGAGGATGCAAACCAAAATCCAAAATAAAACAAAAAAGGGGGAATTATTCTTTGAAGCTTGGCATTGCTTTATAAATGGGGTCTGTAAGTGATTTCTGTTGTGGTTGATGCCTTCTTTGCTCAGAAGTTGAGGGAAATAGTAGTAGATTAGAGAGTAATTCTAAACATTACAGGTGAGAAATCCAATGATTCAAAGAAATGTCCTGGAATATGCAGCCTTTCATAGCCAGATCTTGTTCATGTTGAACCCTGTCAAGGTTTTTCTTGGAGTTGACTTGACTGAAATTTTGAATCAGAACTGTTAGTCTTTTAAATGTTAGACAGATCTCCGTGGTTCTGTACCACAGCATCTAGCAGACCCTGTGTTTGAGCCCCTAGACCTTGTTCAGGATGTTACCATGACATTACCAAAACTCCTAGATCTAGGAACATGAGAGGTAAGCACGTAAAAGGGTTGTCATTCTTGGTTTTAGGTTTCTTAATATCACCTGAGTCCAGATTAATTTGTGCTAATTTACTTATTTATTTTACACTGATTTGCTCTGTGTATGGAAGGGAAAATGAGTGAGAGGTTAGTGTGTCTGTTACCTGATAAAATAAGTTGATCCATTTCAGTAGTTTCCATCTAGTTGCAGTTCTGTTGTCCGTGCTTTTTCTGGAAGATCTTTACAGTTTGGAGATGATGGGGGGGAGGGGGGAAGCTATAATTCTCATGATTATTTTAATTGTTTTAAGTGATTATGTGTTGTCATTTTGTGCAGTATCTTGTGGTGCTGGAAACAATATCTCGAAGGTCCACATGCTCAGAGAGAACCCAGTTTTGCTCAGTTTCTAATGCAGAAAAAGATTTTTGCTGATACATCTCACCTTGTTATATTTGTCATATTTTTCGTCTTCTGGTTTTTGTATACAGCTCTCAAGACTTTTAACACTTACAGAAAAGCTTTAAAACATTGGGCTCTTTGTAATGAAGATTTCTTACCCAGTTGGGCCATGTTTTTCTGACTGTCCAGTGTTTTGAGGTTATCACTGTGTGCATATTCAGAATCTGCAGATGGGACTCATGATGCTGGTAACTGAAAAAATAAAGCTCCCAGATATTTATGGGGGAAGCACTACTTTTGAGTGCCCCTCCTGGAAAATTCCTACCCAGTAGACAATGATTGTTTTCACGGGCTTTGATTAACAGATTTAAGCTAAGATACACCTTTAAACTTTCTTGCAATTCACAATGATTCAGCTGAAACACTCTGATACCTACTATGTAGGCTCTGCCTTTTGGCCATGTTTGTGTTGATCTAAGAAAGCCGTTTCATATCCTTTCAATATGAGCCCACATAAAAAAAGTCTTCTTGGCAGCAAAATCCTGACTAATTACAGTTGCAAAAGGTTTAGTTAGGAGTAAGCATGTCTGAAAGTAGTGGCATAAATCATCTAACTTTGGACACATTTTTTAGAAGTGAAGAGAGACATTCCTGAACATCTGCTTATCTATGTCAATCTGTGATATGCTTTTATTTTTTCTGATGTGTTGACTGTGTGAGAAGTCAGGGACAAAACTCAAATTTGTGAAACATGGTCTAGCTAAAAATGTGTTGCTGAGCAGTCCTCAAGTTTTTTTCCTTGGTAAGGACAGAACTTGTATTTATAGCTTGATTCCAGCAGTGGCACGCAGCTTAAATAAGCAGTGTTGCAGATGACTATTGTGGTTATGAATATTAGATGAAACACACTGATAAATGTGTATTAATGGAAGAAGTAAAGTTCTGGTAATACCTACGTCATTTATTTTGTTTCTGTTTGCTGTTTTCTGCACATCTTGAAAATTATGAAACCTGTGAGAGGGCTTCTGAGCTGAAGCCTCATGTGAATATCTGATGTTACTGCTTTCTGGAGAGCAGAAATGACTGTTTTTCTTCAATAAGAAAAAGTCACAGCAATGAAGTTTTCTGTAGCTGTTGCCGCAAGTAGCAGTGGAAGTAACTATGACTGCCTCTCTAAATTCTGAAACCCTTGAGCTACTTTTCTCAGCCCTAGTTAATCATAATGTTTATGTAGTGAATAAGGGTTACTTTGGAAGGCCCCATGTGCCCAGTGTCCCATCCAAGGATGGTTCCTGCCTAAGCAGCAATACAGAGTTGTTTCTTCCCCTCAGCTATATGTTCCCTCAGCACAGAAAGCAATGCCTAAGTGTGCCTTGCAAAGCGCCTTGTTGAAATTTGTAATGAATGTCTTCAGAAACACTCTTTGTCAGTGGTAGATGTGGTCAATTTCAGAAGACCACAGGTTGATTTTTTCCGTAGCTTCCTAGCTAGCTTGCTGAGATTATAGTTCTTCAGATCCTCCAGTACAGCTTAGGTTGCCTGAAAATTGCTCTTGATCAGGATTTCTTCGAAGACTGTTGATTGTTCAGCCCGTGACTGCCAATGAGTTGAAAAAATGAGGGTGGTCTTGGACATGCTCTTATAAGGACTCCATGTGTGGTTTAGGGTGAAAAGGTTTTCAGTGTCATTGTTCGTGTTCAAAGTTAGCCCACGTCCTGAATGCATGTTAAGTGAGAAGCCTACTGGAGTTACCAGCATGCAGTTCTAACTGCTCGTAACTACTAATGGCACAAGTACATAATTACACGTGGCCCTTCTAGGGCTTTACCCTAGAACAGCCTAACAGCCCTTAGCCTTGATATCAAGACAAATTAAATCACGCTTTTTTCTGGCTTAAGCTAGTAGCATGACTTCGCCTGATATAGTTTAAACAAGGCTCTCGGGCAGGAGGGTCAAATACATTGTTCTTTGAATGCTGAAGGACAGCTGCCTCCCCTCCATAGACATGTCCTTTGGATTTTTTGAAGCGTGCCTCTTATTCTCCGTATGTGGTAGATGTACTGTGTTGGAGAGCATTTTCTTTCTCAGAAGATTTTATCTTATGAATTGTACCAGAACGTTAGGCTGGAGGATATCTTCTCTGAAATTTGATTGAAAAGTATGCCGTGAACAGTGAAAGTGTTGCATCTTTTTAGGTATTGCAATTTGCATCATTGTGAGAGAACTATAAAATCTTTTGTGAAAGGAAGGAGAAAAATTGTGGTGCTTTATATGCATATATCTATCTATATATACACACACACACAAAATCATATATATCATATTACAAGCATATGTATATTTTAGTCTATATATTTATGCATGTATATATTTATAATGTGTATTATATATATTATATATTTGCATATAATATGTATTTGTATTGTATATGTAATAGGAAATTTATATTCTATATATCTAAAATGTGTAACATACAGTATGTGCAGATACAGTTTTCATTCATATATGTATGTATGTATATATATGTATATATATGTGTGTATATATATATATATACACATATGCTTTTAAAAATCTTACCTGTCTCCCCTTGTGGATATCTGGCTCTTGCCAAGAGCTTCCTTAAATGAAGAAGTAGTTATTGCTGATCCTTCACTTCTGTGCATTTGGGAATTTTTTCTGACTTTTTTTGTACCTGTATGTTGTTTCAGGAGACCCAATGTGAGTGTATTGGGTTTATTATTATTATTGTGCAGTCAGATGAGTTGTGCTTGTTCAGTGACTATCCTTTATCCCTCAGAAGCTGAGGGGAGGTTGACTGGAGATGCTGGGTTCACAGGTCGAAGCTCTGTTGGCAGCCTGTCTTCCAAAAAAGATTAACTTGCGGTACTGATCAGGTCGTTGACTGAATTTTTAAAACAGTTTGTAGTATAGTAAAAAGAGAATGTCCACTTGGTAACTGCACTTTAATCAGTGACTGTTAACGTGGAGAAATAGTGGTAATGGGTTTTTTAACTTCATATGCTGTGCACAGTGGCTTGTTGAAAATGCACTTGACGAGACATGTCTTAACAAAGCGATAAGATGATCATCTCTAATAATCATCAGAGCTTAAAGGTATTTGGAAAGTTCTGATTCATGTGAACTATTCATAAGTAACTAAATATTCAGTGATAACTTAATTATCACTGGCTGACTTAATATGCATAGTTTCCTTTCAGGTACTTCAGTCTAATGTTGAAAACTGTTTGACTGGTAACCTCTCTGGTGTACACCTGAGCCAGAAATCAGTCATCAGCATTTCCAGATTGGCAGTAACGTACATATTCTAACTCATTTGGATTTAGCCTTGACTAAATAGCAACTTTCCAAAAGCAGTGAATGTAAATAAATATATCTTTCATTTGAAAAGCCACTGCTCTTGAAAAGAGACAGATGCGCATCTTTATGCAAGTTGTATGTTAAATGCTTAACAATTATAAAAAGCTATTCTATATGAGTTACTCTATATAAGACATAATTGCTTAATTGTCAAAGTGTACTGAAGAAAACTTCAGGAGGTAAATAAACATGCTTTCAAGCAACTGCTTTGCTTGAAATTTCAGTCTATCTGTGGCCTGCAAGGGGAAACTATTACAGGGACTGGTAAAACCTAGAATACGTCTGTGTTTTTGTAGGAGCACAAGTATTTAAAGCTTTTTAGCTGCATGTTTTAAAAAAAAAGAAGTATTTTATTCAAATATTTTGTAACAGCAACTTCATTCAGTTTCCTTAGTGTTGAGGAACACTACTAAAATTTGTTTGGATGCGTGATTTTTGTATGTCAGAGGCTGTAAAATTCTAATCATGTTTCTCAAAAGTTCAGTGATTTTTTTGATTTTTTTTTCTTTTTTTTTTTTTTCCCCCCCCTTCAGGGCCGGTCTGAAGTTAGCTGTCTACAGACCCCTCTACAGGACTAGTGCGGCGATAGGGGGAAAAATCCCCACTAACTGCTCCTCTTCTTTAATCTAAGCAGTCATTGCTGACTTGGGCCCCTGCTTTCATCAGACTTGCTTTAGTGGTTTGATTTAAAACTTATTAGGCAAAGTGAAGAATTTATACCTAATACAGAGTAACTGTGTGCTAACTGGAAAAATTAAGATGATACTGTTGTATTCGTTGTGGAAATGTGGTCTGTTTAAGGGTTGCTGTCAGCTCAGCTATGACACATGATATACCTGAAAGGGAATGAGGGAAGAAAACTTATTTTTCTTTGCCTGTTTTTCTGTGTCTCATTACTTTCTTGTGTCCGACTCCAGTGTTTCTCCAGGTTGTGCGTGCAGATGCGGTCTTTGTAGGTCTCTGAGGCTATTTAGTTTACAAAGCTCACCCTCCACCTGAAACACACCAGAGCTTCTACTTTTTCCTTTCACTCCACGAAATGTAGGGGAAACATCCTTGCACAGGCAAATGGGGTTATAGTAAACAGCAAAGGAGTGTGAGAAGCTGAGTGTTGTGCCAAACTTTGAGTTTGTTTTTTGGAGTTGCCATGAGTTCTGCTAACTGACTTGGTAATGGAGATGGTGGTTGCCTCTTAAGAGGGATGATTGTGTAGAGCTAGGATGATTACTGATATTACTCCCAAGACTTTATTTCTCAATACTATTTTCATTTGTAGTTTGGACTGCATCAGAGTTGTCCCCCTCCCCCCAAAATCCTGAGACTAATTTATATGTTTAATAAGTAACTATTTTTTAAAATACGGATTTTGTAAAATCTTGAGGAAAATAATCATTCTACTGATTCCGTGACTGTGTAGACTGAAAATATTCTGAAAATGTCTCTTAAAATGTAGCTTCTTCTGCCGCTGACAAAGTAGTATTAATTTGACTGATCCTACCGTTTTGAGGTGAACTTAACGAAAGTAACTTCCAGTTCTTCTTTTCTGTTTTTGTTTTTGTTTTTTTTTTTTAAGCTGTCTCTCGTAAAAGAAAACTAGAACGTTCTCCTACAAATTGTGATGGCACGGATGACCGAGTCGCAAAAAAGCAAAAAGCTTATTCTGTAAGTGTTGTTGGTGGTTGTTTGTTTATTTTCCTGCCCTGATCTCAGGGTGTTATATCAAAAAATGCTGTTAAATTCAGATCTTGCCATTTGAATGAGATTTTCCTACTTTCTTCTCTTTGGCAATTCTAAATGGAGTTGTTTGCTTTGCTCTTTAACGTGTGTAGAGTTGTATCCTCATGTCCTGTTTACTGCTTTCGTGGAAGAAGTTGATGACTAGAGCTTTGACCTGTGAGGCACTGAGTGGCATTTATTTCTCCTGGATATCAGTGGGAGTTATCAGCTATGAAGCAACTGGCTTCATCAGAGCATTCTTTATTTTTCCTCGAGTAGATCAAGTTCAACATCTGTTGTTACTGTTCTTCTCTGTTACAGGAATAATGTTGTTTACGTATGTATTAAAAGTACTAAAAAGTATGGCTTAGGGAAATCATTTAAAGGAATGAATTGGTTTATTTTTCAAGCTCTGGATTACTTTGACCTTTGCTAATAAATAGAAACTTCTTAATGATCCTGGCACCTTCAGGTTGGTATTTGGCAGATCTTGCACACAGTCTGACAGTATGGTCGCTAAGCCAACTGCTGAGCATCCCAGTAGGCATCCTTGAAAAAGGCTTATAGTGAAGTATGGGAATTATTCAGTAAAAATAGGAGGTTGGATTGGAGAACAGTGAATGTCTTTGTGTTGTGTTGGAGTGTAACCAAATATTATCCTAATTCAGAGTAAAATGGAGAACATTTGAAGCTTCCTATGAAAACAAAACACGTTACTTGGGTATCTCCTCTCTCCCTGGAGGATGGCTGTGAGTTTTGTGAGGCAAGGTTTGCCGTGGTTCGGGTTTGTTCCTTCTCACCAGGCCCCTGGGTTAGGTGACAAAGGAGACTTCAAGGCTTGAATTGTCACGCAGCCAGCATAGCAAGCAGAATTGCACTGGACCACTGGGTAATATCATGCAGCAGTTTGATTTCCGTGCTTAACAGTTCCATTACAGTGAAAAGAGAAAAGGTTGAGGGAAAGTTCAGCTGAAGCCAGGGTTTTTTGTTAAATTCTTTAATAGAGACTAGAAGTGAAGACTTTATGGATTTTCTTCCTTTAGCTATCACTTTTTCTCTAGTGGGTAATTACTTCCAAAAACTAGAATGTGTTTATTCCCTTTGCTAGCTATTATACTTACCATAGCTGTGCTTCTAATGATACTGTAAAGAGATTTATTGAGGAAAGGAATTGTATATCCTCTGTGATCAGGAGAGCTTCTGTTTGGTCTGGCTTCTGTTTTTTGTTTTTGTTTTTTTTTGTTTTCCCCCAGTGGGTAGCATCATTTAGCTGAATAAATATTGGTGAAACCTGTTGGCATCTATGCTGTAAATAAGTAGATCTGTAGCCACTTTGCATGCCAAGCTCACAAAGTGATATAACTTGTGTAATTCTTTGTGGTGTGCAGGAATTTTGGCACTTATGAGGGTCCTCCCTTTCTACAGACTAACAGCTGTAGTGAAGTTAATGTTGATGAAAACTTTTTGTCAGGTTTTGGTATAACGTGATGGTGCTGTAGCACAGTGTTTTTGGCGTTTTGTACATAAATCTTCACATAAACATACCAACTGACATGTTTATAGACTCTGGTGGATTAAATACTGTGTGCTTGGTCGATCTAACTTAATCGACTTTACCTCCTGAATGTTAACCCTGCTACCTTCTGTATAACAGTGTTGTACATTATGTTATTCAGAACTCTAATAAAATAACAAAATTGGTCTTTAATTAGAAGCATAACATAAATGATCCAGAAGTGCTACCAACTTTAATTTTATTTTGAAGAAACAAAACTTTGAGAAGGATCTGTTATATATTTTTGGCAAGTAAGCACACACGGTGTGAAGTTATCAGGTAAAGAATGCCAGTCTTCCATTAGTGGAGATTTTTTCTATGCTCTTAAAAGCTGGTCTTATGTTGAGCGTTGGTTATGTGTGAGGAGCCATTCCTGTAACTTGGATTTGTCTTAAGTCCTTTTGTTTTTTAGAGTGGCTATTGAAAGGTAAGCAATGTTAGATTTGATTTTTCTGTTTCTATGCTTGTAATTCACACTAAACCTAAATAGATTTTTGTCCTCCCCCCTAAACATAGGAGGATGGGTCAAAATCCCCAAAAGAGTGGGAGAAGAAAGAGATGCTTGTGAAGAAGCTGCAAAACACATTCCCTGGATTGGATAAGGAGGTGAGCTCTCACGTCTTCTGAGAACAAATCAGATTTTAACCTAGTGAGAAATTTTTTTGTAGCTGTCTTAAGGACCGTTTCATTAGCACTATTACCAGCAGCACATTCAGAAAGAGCTCAGGGTAGGTAGGTCTCCACTGTTACTGCTCTGGGAATGCAGTTTGCCTTGAACTGAAAGCAGCTGGATGTGACTGAGACTGCTTAGAACTTGTTCTAGTTGGTCCTGTGGCAAGCCTGCATAGTCAGATTTGATGACCCGTTATAGAAACGTATGGAGAAAAATACTCGGTATCCTGGCAGATTCCAAAAGCATCTTTTTCTGTCCTAATACAAGCAAATGTATTGTTAATCCCCACACCCTTGCCCCCCCCACACACACACACGTCCCACCCCCAACATGATTTGAAGTTAGTGTGTTCTTTGCTTGGTTTAGCAGCTGAAGATGCTCAGCACGTGGTCGGGACCTTTTAATGCTGTACCTTAAACCACTGGAAGCAAAACTTACTTATGTCTGTTCTTACCCTTTTGAAAGGTGGAGTGCAGGTCTACCTAAGCTGTATGTAAGGATAAAGTGAAGTTTTCTCCTTTTGATTTCTTTTTTTCTGAATCATCTGACTTAGTTTTTGTTTTTGTTTTAAAATTAGGTGCTAGCATCTGTTGAAACACTAACCATTAATTATTGTATATAGAAATGTAATTTCTGCTTATCTTACCAGAAAACAAAACTTCTTATTGTTTATTAGGAACTGAGAGATGTACTTCAAGAACATAACTGGGTGTTTCATGAAGCTCTGGAGGCCCTGAGAGTATTTGCAGAAGACCATGAGGGTAAAGACAGATTTATACTCCATTTTATCCCAAGATAAAACAGACTTCCAGTATAAATCCTTTCTGATGTCCAGCGATGACAGTCCTGACAGTACTATGCCTAGAAACCTGTAGTGATACTTGAAAATAGTCATTAGGGGAAGGCAAAAGAAGGAAACTAGATTTTTCTTCATTTTCAGTGTCTTGGTTTACCCCCCTCCCCCCCACCCCCTTTTGAAGCAGAGATAACCTCTATTTAGCACAGGAAAAATATTTAACATTAAAAAGCTGTAATTACCTAGGAGTATGTGATTAAAATATATTCTGAAACGTGCTGAAGTTGGGAGACCTACTCCCCTCCTGCTTGGTTAAAAATAAGGGTTTGTTTTCTTAACTTGAGTTACTTGTAAATCAGTAATTACACGTCACACAGTTATATAAACTATTTTAGTCTTGAAACATCTTCTAGGATAGAGATATATTAAAAATGGGCCTTAAGTACCAGTAAATTGAATGTGATAGGGAACGATAACTGTGATTCCACATAAATCTGCAAGTTGTAAGTGAAATACTAATTAATAATGAGTAGCTTGCTTTTTAGCCTGATACACATCTGACAGCCACTTATCTGGTTTGCTGTATTAAGTGTTTACGTATCCTTGGATTAGGATAGTATTCTTAACTGTGCTCTTTTCACGTAGAGGGTACCTAGCAGTATATAGGTGATGTGTAAAGTTCCTTCCTTACTGCCGCTCTTTCAGAGCGTTGGGAAGGTGGACTCGGGGGTTACAATCCATCAACAGCAAGCTGAGACGGGGAGGAGGAGAAAGCATTGCAAAGGAGATCCAAAGAAGGAAAAAAAGTACGAGTGGACAAGTCATTTCGAAAAGCCACCTTCTGCTAAGCAATAGCTATATTACTTTAAAACATTAGGGCTATAAATATATATGCTTACTCGGTTGGAAATGCTTAGTTCCTCCAGGTGCTTAACAGGTGCATGCTTTTGTTGTTGCACCCTTAATGCTTTACTGAGATGCAATACCATGGAAGAAAAGGTTTATACTTTTTGTGGTGAGAGTAAGCTTGTCTGCTGAAATTGGCAGAATTGACCAGCTGCCAAGACATTAGAGTGGGACCAGCATCACATTCAAACCTTATATGAGAATTCTTGAGCTCTTGAGGCTGCTCTACCTCAGTTCCTGCAGTTCATGCGTATTACATAAAGTTGGTCTTATGTTTTGAGACAGGTAGTTAAAGCATTACGCTTCTTGAGCAGTATGCAAACTAGCATTGGTCGACTTACAGTTGCTGTTTTCATGCTTTAAACAGACCTGCACGGTGTTTGTTCCTCTCTCTTAGTAACACCTACTGTCGACTTTTACTGCAAATACAAAATGAGAAGGATGTAGTGGAGAAAATGCCAAAACATTGGTTGTAGCATTTTACAGTGAAGAAACAATGTAACTCATTAGATAGGGAAATTGGTTTTTTGTCTGTATATGCTTTTCTTTTCAAAAACAGTGAGTTCTAGTTTGTCCTTAGGGAGTATGCATTGAACTTGTTACTTTTTCCGTTACATGCATAGATACAGAGTATCCTTCCAAAAGTGAAGTTTCTCATTGGAAGGAAGTCTCCAAAAACAGCAGAAGTGTTGAGAATGAAGTGCAACTGAAACAGAAATCTTCTATGAAAGAGCAGAATGGCTTTAGGAAAAAGGATAAAGGCAAAAAAGGCATTTGGAACCCTAAAAGAGAAATAGAGGATTCAGAGGACGACTCGGCTTCGGAAGGTGGCAGCTCCCTTGATGAGGACTACAGCAGTGGTGAAGAAGTGATGGAGGATGGTTACAAAGCAAAAATCCTCAACTTCCTGCAAGATGCTTCCCCAAGCGAGCTCACTTTGATTCCCCAGTGCTCTCAGAAAAAAGCTCAGAAGATAATAGCGCTCCGGCCCTTTAATAGTTGGGAATCTCTGGTAAGCCCACATTCTTGTTTTAATATCCCCAGTATGCATAGAGTCAAGGTGTCTTCGGTCTAGAGAGGCATAGATGGGTGGCCTTATCCTGATTAAGCTAAAATGCTATATTCATTGTAAGCCAATAGCATTTCAAATAGTGTCATATGACCTAATTTTGAATGAATTAAGGGGTGCTTTTCCTGAAAAACTCAAGCTGATTGGCTGACATTACTGTCACTCACGCTTTAGCCTAGAAACTTGGTTGATTTCACTGCAGGAGAAGAAGTTAGAGCTTTCATTTAGCAAAGGGTTGTTTGCTAGCCTGTTGTGATCTGTTTTAGCTGAAAAACCATGCAGAAGATAAGAATGTGGCAGGACTTTTACTGCAGCTACTTTAATAGCGGCAGCAGCAGCTTCCGGGGTAGCTCCATGATTGAAGATGCCAGCTTGGATATTTTCAGCTTCACCACAGAAGAAAGAGTTGTTGTTTTGCATACTGCAACTTAGTCTCTAGCATGATTTTGCTGGCTAGGCAATGTAGCCATTTTATAGTGGAGCTAGCTGCTGTGTTTTTATTAGTAAAAGATAAAGCATCAGAAGGCTATAAACCACAATCCACAACGAGGGGGAAGAACAGTAACTACTGGTAAGTAGATTATGAACTGTCCCTGGGATGCTGCTTTCAGATGTTTCCTATGATGTGTTTGTTGACTTCACGTTTCATGTGTTTCAGCTAACTGAAAGACATCAAACCTGATAAGAAACATGAAGTACATAATGGAAGGTTTTCTTGATTTAATTTGTTACTGCGTTGGGTTTTAAAACAATAACTGTGTGTAGGCCCTTTTTAAGAGTAATTGTTTCTTTTTTTTATTTATTTATTAGTACGTGTTCTGAAAACCACTCACTGAGGTATGCAAGATGCACTTGCATTTTTTTCAGTTCAAAATAAATATATTTTTTAGATGTGTGTAAAAATCATAACACTTCATAATTTGTTGTGTAGTGTGCTTTACCACATAACAGCAAGGGATACTAGTCAGTGTTTTTTTTTTTTTTGAGAAAACTAAATGATCTTTGTATGTTGTGTTGCAAGATGGGGGGGAGAGGAGGAAGATCCTTGCGGGGGAAAAAAGGGTGCAGATATACTGCAAAAGAAATCCGTTTTGCCCAAAGCCTTTGGCTTCTCATAGAACATCTGCCATACAGCAATCCCTTTCTAAACTTGTTGGGTTTTGCCTGAGCTTAATTCTCTGCAGAAATATTTGCTACAGGGCTGTTCTCCTCCTTTTTTCTGTGTAACATATTTAACAGAAAATAAGTTGTATGGGCCTGTTTGTGTTCAAAATCTTTGAGAGAAATATTGCTGTTGTCAGCAACTGCATATCTACATGGTGCTGTGACTACTTGCCCGGAGTAGTAGTTTGCAATATAATTTAGCAGATGTTTAATATCGGTGTGGATTGGATTATTTTTAAAAGATCCAGCAAGCCAGTGACCCGGAATTTTTCCTACTGATTAATAAGTTAAAGTGATAGAACAATGCAGAAAGTTGATTCTTTTTTAGTATTAAAGAAATTGACTTAGTTTTAAAGTATGCTTTTACGCTGAAGATTTCTTCTGTAACGTAATGTAAAGCTGTTGCTGCTTGTCTGTTAGTTGAAGAATTGAGGAAGATCTTGGGGCTTTCAGGCTGGCATTAAGACTAACTACATTAATAAAGGTTCATGGAATCGAAGAGCTTCATAAATTCAGAGTCTCGGAATTGGAGATTTTTTTTAGAAATGCTGTATGTTAAGAATGAGTGATAAGGAAGCCTACTTCTTTGTAAATTAAATGGCTTATTCTAGGATGGCTTACAGTGCCTTTTTTCTGGAAAATGTTTGTATAAATTAGACTAAGACTTTCTTCAGGTGGATTGGAATAAATTCAAATTTTTGAAATTACTAAGAGCATCTGTATTGGGGCATTCTTTAGGGCAGATATTTAACTTGATCTAATGACACTGAAAATGCACGGAAGACAGAGTTAATGAGCAAGGTTCTCAAATAGATAAGTTGGAGAAAGCCCTTGCTCATGAATATGAATTATTTTGCCAATTTATAAATGCTTCTACTGTATGTCAGCTATATTTTTGAGGAGAGTAATTGTATCAGGCTGGCATGTCACGTTGAACAGGGGTGGGGGGGGGGAAGATTGCTGACTACTGATCTGCTACACAAAAGTTACCCATCACATTAGTAAGATTAAGACTTAGAAAAATGGACTTTCCTTTTTCCTCTTCTCCCACTCTCTCCCACGTCCTAATTTCTCCCTCTACAACCAGTCACGTCGACATGTAGGCCTATTCTGTTCTTATGTGGTGTTGCTTGTGTCCATGGGATTAAAAAATGAGCCCTGCCATTAATAAACTGCCGGATGATACAGAATTGTCCCTCTCCTGTAGATTGCTTCCTACTTGAGTTTTCCACGTTCCTCTGCCGTTTCCTTCGGGAGGTGGTTGTGACACGCCAGCAGCACGCGTTGCCTGCTGGTAGTTCTGTGCATGCTGACTGATAGCGGCTGCTGTCGTATGAAGGCTTCCTGCTGCCTTTAACCCCCCCCCCCCCCCCCACCACCTCTTGCACGTACTT